CCCCCAGCACCACCCCCACCCCCTCCCTCACCACCACCACCACCAGCACCAGCACCAGCACCACCAGCACCACCACCAGCACCACCATCACCAGCAGCAGGAGCAGCAGCAGGAGCAACAGCAGCAGCAGCAGCAGCAGCAGCAGGAGGAAGAGAAGATGGCGCGTAACGCGGAGCGAGCGAATGCTGTATTAAATAAATGGTTGGCTGTAAAGACAGCCGTCCTTAAAGGAAGCAAACAACAAACAGCGTTGGGCCCTTGTATACCGGAAGAGTGCGATGATCTAGATAGAGCCACGCTCTGGTGAGTTTGTTGCTGCTGCTGCTGCTGCTGCTGCTGCTGCTGCTGCTGCTGTTATTGTTGTTGTTGGTGGTGATGGTGGTGGTGGTGGTGGTGGTGGTGCTGTAACAAACGGCGTTGGGCCCTTGTATACCGGAAGAGTGCGATGATCTAGATAGAGCTACTTTATGGTGAGTCAATATGCTGCTCCTGCTGCTGCTGCTGCTGCTGCTGCTGCTGCTGGTGATGGTGTTGTTGCTGGTGATGGTGGTGGTGGTGGTGCTGCTGCTGATGGTGATGGTGGTGCTGTAACAAACTGCGTTAGGCCCTTGTATACCGGAAGAGTGTGATGATCTAGATAGAGCTACTCTATGGTAAGCTGCTGCTGCTGCTGCTGCTGCTGGTGTTCTTGTTGCTGCTGCTGCTGCTGCTGTTATTGTTGGTGGTGGTGGTGGTGGTGGTGCTGCTGCTGCTGCTGCTGGTGTGACAACAAACGGCGTTAGGCCCTTGTATACCGGAAGAGTGCGATGATCTAGATAGAGCCACGCTCTGGTGAGTTTGTTGGTTTGTTGCTGCTGCTGCTGCTGCTGCTGCTGCTGGTGATGGTGTTGGTGCTGGTGGTGGTGGTGATGGTGCTGCTGCTGCTGGTGGTGGTGGTGTAAGAGCAGACAGCGTTAGGGCCTTGTATACCGGAAGAGTGTGATGATCTAGATAGAGCTACTTTGTGGTGGGTTTGTTGTTGCTGCTGCTGCTGCTGCTGCTGCTGTTATTGTTGCTGCTGCTGCTGCTCTTATTGTTGGTGTTGCTGCTGGTGATGGTGCTGCTGCTGCTGGTGGTGTAAGAGACAGCGTTAGGGCCCTGTATACCGGAGGAGTGTGATGATCTAGATAGAGCGACGCTTTGGTGAGTTTGTTGCTGCTGCTGCTGCTGCTGCTGCTGGTGTTCTTGTTGCTGCTGCTGCTGCTGCTGTTATTGTTGGTGGTGGTGGTGGTGGTGCTGCTGCTGCTGCTGCTGCTGGTGATGGTGGTGCTGTAACAAACGGCGTTAGGGCCTTGTATACCGGAAGAGTGTGATGATCTAGATAGAGCTACTCTTTGGTGAGTTCTTTATGTTGCTGCTGCTGCTGCTGCTGCTGCTGCTGCTGCTGCTGCTGCTGTAATAGACTGTTTTGGGGCCCTGTATATGAGACTGTGATGATCTAGAGAGAGCTACTCCTTGGTATTTTACTTCTGCTGCTGCTGCTGCTGTTGCTGCTGCTGCTGCTGCTGCTGTTGCTGCTGTTGCTGCTGCTGCTGCTGGTGATGCTGGTGCTGCTGATGGTGTTGGTGGTGGTGGTGGTGATGCTGCTGCTGCTGCTGCTGCTGCTGCTGCAACAACACACTGCCTTGGGGCCCTGCATACGAAAGGAATGTGATGATATAGAGAGAGCTACTCTATGGTAATCTCTTTATGTTGCTGCTGCTGCTGCTGCTGCTGCAGCTGCTGCAGCTGCTGCTGCAGCTCCTGCTGCTGCTGCGGCTTCTACTGCACGTACTGCTGCTGCAGCTTCTACTGCACCTACTGCTGCTCTTGGTGCTGCTGCTGCTGCAGCTTCTACTGCATCTACTGCTATTCATGCTGTGCTGCTGCTGCTGCTGCTGCTGCTGCTGCTGCTGCTGCTGCTGCTGCTGCTGCTGCTGCTGCTGCTGCAGGCGTAGCCAGTTGGTGCGGGAGATAGGGCGGGGCATCTCTTTGATTCAGGATGCTTCTTTGGGGGAACACAGAATAAGAGATATTAACGATGAAATTAATAAAAAAATAAAAATAAAAAGAAGATGGGAATATAAAATTAAAGAGGTTTGTTTCTCTTTTTATTTTATTTTATTTTGTTTTGTTTTGTTTTGTTTTTTTTGTTTTTTTTGTTTTGTTTTTTTTCGTCTTTGTTTGGTTTTTTGGTTGTTTTTTTCTGTTTTTTTGGTTTTTTTTGACGAAATTAATAAAAAAATTAAAATAAAAAGAAGATGGGAATATAAAATAAGAGAGGTTTGTTTCTTTTTTTATTTTTTTGTTTTGTTTATTTTTTTATTTATTTTGTTTTGTTTCTCTTTTTATTTATTTTGTTTTGTTTCTCTTTTTATTTATTTTATTTTATTTAATTTTATTTTATTTATCTTTTTTTTCCGTTTTTGTTTTGTTTTTTTTTTGTTTTTTTTTATTTCTTTTACGATAAAACAAACGAATAACAAACTAACAAACAACTGTATTAATA